CATTCTAAACATTTTACTTCTTCTGCTTTGAATAATACCAGTACCTTACATCTGACAGACAGTATAGTCTTGGGACAAGACACCAGGGTGAGGGGCGGGTATAGATGCTGGAGCCAGACTGCCTAAGCTCTTATCCTTTACTATAATAATTAGCTGTGGTCCTGAGCAAGCTACTGAACACTTCCATGCCTCAGTTTCTCCAGCTATAAATGGCAATAATAAAAGGACCCACCTTCTAAAGTTATTGTGAAGTTATATAAGTTGATGTATGCATGGTGCTTTGAATAGAGCCTAGCCCAGACTAAAGACTAGACAAATGTTAACTATTTTTATTATTATCTGCGTGTGTTTACCAAGTATGTCAGAATGTGTGCTTGCGTGTGTGTGTAATATGAACCAAATTGTCTTTCAAGGGCTTCTAAATTACTAAACGGGATCTTGAATTTCCTAACCTTTGCTTGTTGGGGCATGTTCTTTAAAGAAAAGCTTGTATAAAAAAGGGTTGGTAATCCATATACAATAGGGATCTCACTTGTTTTCTCAAGCTCAATTTATTTTTCTCATATAGTATTCTTAAATTAAGTTTAGCTTAATGTTGCCTCCTTACATATTTTAAGTTTGGCCTAAAGGTTTCTCCACACATAATGGCCTGTAACCTAACTGGATGTATGAGCAGATCATAACCTACTCTTGAAACTGGGAGCTAAGTCTCACTCAATCACACTAGCTGAGTTTCAGCCAAACACAGGTGTTCAGCTGTTCAAGCTGTGTTCAAATAAGGCACATGCTCAGCTGTATCCAATCCAGCTGCTTCTGTAGGTCATTTCTGTTTTCTATATTCACTTTCTTTTTCTGTCCATAAATGTTATCTGACCATGTGGCAGCCCTGGAGTGATTCTCAATCTATTCTGGTTTTGAAGGCTGCCTGATTTGTGAATCATTCTTTGCTCAATTAAACTCTGTTAAATTTAATTTGTCTAAATTGAACACTTTTAGCACTTTGTTACCATTATCTTTTTATCTCATTTCTTCATTTCCATCCTAATACATTTTACTACCTTTAGCTTCTCTTTTTATTGATATCATCTATCATTAATTTTTTTAGAATTTAAATCAATTTCATCCACTCCCAGCTGCAGATCTTTAAATGAAGTATTTCTTGACTCTTCAGTGTCACTGTCTGCATTTGTCAATGCTATGGTGTTGCAATGCAGTGACAGAGTTGTTATCCTATAGAAACTCTCATCCAACTGCATAAAAAGTGTGACAAGCTGTATATGCCTGATGTTAAAATACTAAACTATTCTGGAGAATAAGCTAGTCTCTTCTTTTGCATAAATATGGTAATTGATTCATATCACTATGGCAGGTCATCAAAGACACGGTTTTTAGAGTTTATAAGTACTATTAAGACAAAGCCAAAAGAGACAGCAGTAGTCCACAAAAGTTACTGCAAGAAAGAAATGTATCTTATGGATATAAAAAATGTATCTTACGTAGATATTTAAATTAAAAAAATTAAATACCCAGAGACAACCATATATATATATACAACTTTTATACCTAAAGTTAAAAATTCAGACTCAAGATCAGCTAACTCAAGATTAACTGGTGAATCTTTTTTTTTTTTTTTTTTTGAGACAGAGTCTCACTTTTGCTACCCAAGCTGGAGTGCAATGGCACGATCTCGGCTCACTGCAACCTCTACTTCCTGGATTCAAGAGATTCTCCTGCCTCAACTTCCCAAGTAGCTGGGATTATAGGCGAGTGCCACCACGTCCAGCTAATTTTTGTATTTTTAGTAGAGATGGGGTTTCACCATGTTGGCTAGGCTGTTCTTGGACTCCTAACCTCAGATGATCCACCAACCACAGCCTCCCAAAATTCTGGCATTACAAGCATGAGCTAAGATTGCACCACTGCACTCTAGCCTGGTGACAGGGCGAGCCTCTGTCTCAAAAAAAAAAAAAAAAAAAAAAAAAAGTTTGGAAAGTGACAAAAAGCAATAAAGAAATCAAATTTTATTCATAATACCATATAATCTAGAAAGAACCATTAATATTTTGATATTAACATAGTAGCATTAATATTTTACATATCATTTCAGTAACTAACTTTTGCTATAGTTAAATATTTTCCTTGATTATCAAGCCATGTATGTCCTCACTGAAGCAAAGCTGGAGAACATAGAAAAGTTCAAAGCAGTAAAAACAAAAGCACTCAGCATAAACAATTTCGACATATTTTCTTCTACTCTTTTTTTTCTCTTTTTGAGACAGGGGTCTTGCTGTGTCACCCAGGCTGGAATGCAGTGGCACAATCACAACTCACTGCCGCCTTGACCTTCCAGGTTTAAGGGATCCTCCCACCTCAGCCTCCCGAGGAGCTGGGACTACAGGTGCATGCTACCACACTGGGCTAATTAAGTTTTTGTATTTTTTGTAGAAACGGGTGTTGCCATATTGCCCAGGCTGGTACTCTTTCTTTCAATGCATATTCTTTTTGAAATTGTGACCACAAAAAAGAAAAGAAAAAAATTGTGACCACAATTGGAATATGGTATCACATATATAAAAAAACTTATTTTATCATAAGCACTTTCCTTTGACATCAAAAAGTTTGTAAAAGTGAGGTGCAAAAAATTTCATCATTTCATATCATTATTTATTTAGATATTCTTTAATCATTTAGACTGTTTCCAGTTTTTTACTATTTATAAATAACTTCTCCATGGATTTTTACATATAAAATTTTGTCCATATTTCTGATTATTTTCTTAGGATATTTCTTTCTTTAAATTTTTTAATTTTGTTGAGATAGGATTTTGCTCTGTTGCCCAGGCTGGAATGCAATAGTGTGATCACGGCTTACTGCAGCCTTGACCTCCTGAACTTAAGTGATTCTTTTATCTTAGCCTCCTGAGTAGCTAGGACTACAGGTGCATGCCACCAGGCCTAGCTAATTTTTAAATTTTTTGTAGAGATGAGGTTCTGCTATGTTGGTCAGGCTGGCCTCAAGTGATCCTCCTGCCTCGCCTTCCAAATTACAGGGATTACAGGCGTGAGCCACCATGTCTGGACAGGTTATTTCTTAAAAGGAGACTGTTAGGACAAATGATTTGAGCATTCAAATATTAGTAATGTTCGTCTTTTCCTCTAACTCTAAATGTATAACATAATCCTAGAAATAATTATGATTAACATTTTATGGTATTTCCTTCATCTTTTTAAAGGGCGGGGCATTTGAAAGACTCTGATATACTTTCAAATGGTTTTCCAGATTTATATCAATTACCTCTCAGCAGCAATATATCAATGCAGAGTGTTACTGCATTCTCATGAATGTAGACTAATATTAAAATAAGCTATACTGACTTGATGGAAAAATAGTATCTTACTGTCTTGTTAAGCTACCTCTGTTTATTAATGAAGTTGAGCTTCTGTTTTTCCAAATGCTTGTTAACTGTTTGTATATCTTTTTATTGTCTGTTTTCTCTTACAGTTTTTTTTTTTTGAGACAGAATCTTGCTCTGTCGCCCAGGCTGGAGTGCAGTGGCACAATCTTGGCTCACGGCAACCTGTGCCTCCCAGGTTCCCACGATTCTCTTGCCTCAGCCTCTGAAGTAGCTGGGATTACAAACACACACTACCGTGCCCAGTTAATTTTTTTTTTTTTTGCATTTTTAGTAGAGACAGGGTTTCACGATGTTGGTCAGGCTGGTCTCAAACTCCTGACCTGAAGTGATCCACCTGCCTCAGTTTCCCAAAGTGTTGGTATTACAGGCGAGAGCCACCGTGCCCAGCCTGCAATTATGGTGATTTTTAAATGTATAAATGCATTAGTGGAGGATGAGATTGATCTGTGTGTGCCTCAGCACCTGCATCTTAACGCCAGTAGGAGAATTACAGTGAAAACGGACAATGAAAAGATATGCAAAAAGTGAACAAACATTTGGTAAAACAGAAGTTCAACTTCATTTCAAATGGAGCCACCAACAATACACTGAGGTCTACTTCATGAGGAGGAGCTGAACAGTGCGGGGCTTCCTCATTCTTCTACCTGTCAACTGCTACATACTGGTTTAAAATAAGCTACTAAAGATTTGACTTAGTGTATGTAGTTTCTTAAACCCTCTTTTGATTCAGTATGATGCTGATCTTGGTTAACTACAATTCTTGCTGGGCTAAAGGCTGCATGGGAATATGTAAGTAGCAGGAGATAGTGAGATATATCAACAATTGATTAAAATCTGCTTTGCTGAAATTTATCTGTAGGGATCCAGAAGCTGGTTTGCTGCCTCCAACCTGCCCATTGACAATCAGAGATAATGTACATAAGTACTTCTGCTTTGCAACAGTGGCTTCCAAAGACACCTGTGGAGTCCCCACCCTGCAGGTACTGAAGCCCTGTCTGGGGGCAGTTAGCAGAGCCCAGGCTAACCAGGGAATAGAGTCTCATGCCCGTTGCTTCTTCCACTTCATGAGTTGGTCCATACAGGCTGAGAAGGGGGTTATCAACTAGCAGGCAGATTCTCTTTACCCTTCCTCTGAAGTTTCTAATTACTCACACAAGTCTGGATGTGAAGCTGACATCAGCTTCCTTCACAGTGTCACCTGGGAAAATCTTGGTCAGCCCACGGTCCCTTTCCTTTCTAAGCCGACACCCTCTACTTAGCAATTATGAAGTGGCTTTACAGTCAGTGCTGGAGCATAGTGTACAGCCCAGGGTGAATCTCGCACCCTCCCTTCCCTCAACCAGAGCCTACTGACCTACCTGCTTTCCTTCCTTCCCTCTTTCAGTATTTATTTAGTGTTTCCTGTGCTTGGTGCTAGGGATGAGTCAAATATATTTATGACATGGTTCCTGTTCTCAGTGAACTTGCAGTTTAATGGGGGAGATGGATTAAATATACAGACAACTACAGAGGAAGTGGGAAAGCAGCAGTGACCACAGGACCTAACAAAGAGCTGGAAGCCCTTCTGCATAGTTGCACCTTTAACTCTAAGGCATCAACTGAGGCTCCAAGCCATGCGGATTTTACAGGGGAGAGTATAGGAATGAATCCCCATCAGGCCTGTCTGCATTGTGTGGTCATTCTTACTAAGGTCAATCTGTGTTAATTCTAGAAACGGCATACCCCATCTCATAATCACATAAAATAGTCCATCAGCCTTGATGACAACTCTTCCTACTTCATAATGCATATAACTAGACGTAATTTTATTATAAAGAAAATACTTTTTTTTTTTTGGAGATGGATCTTGCTCTGTCACCCAGGCTGGCGTACAATGGCACAATCTCAGCTCACTGTAACCTCCTCCTCCTGGGTTCAAGTGATTTTCATGCCTCAGCTTTCTGAGTAGCTGGGACTACAGGCGCACACCACTGTGCCTGGCTAAGTTTTGTATTTTTAGTACAGATGGGGTTTCGTCATGTTGGCTAGACTGGTCTCAAACTCCTGACCTCTGGTGACCCGCCCACCTCAGCCTCCCAAAGTGCTGGGATTATAGGCGTGAGCCACCCCACCCAGCCTGAGCAAAATACTTTCATGTGCAAAACCCGTTCCTGAAAGACAGGGTTCTTCCTTGTAGCAACGGAAGGCATCCTGGCACCACTCACTTTTATGACACAGCTCCCACCTCCATCTCCCTAAAACCTCACCTCTGGACCATGGAGAGATAACCTGGTGAGAGTGGCGGCTCAGATTCTGGAATCAATTCAGCCCTTAGTCCTTGATCATCTGCTTTGTCACCTCTGCTCTCAAGAGTGGCCAGTCTTCATATTGCCAGCGATAGTGTGGCTGCTGTGAAAGCCCATCTATTCAGGACTAAGCTGAGCTAGGTCATGGCCATCAGTAAACATTATCAAGTAATGACTTTGTTACCACTGGCATCTGAACAGGAAGTCCAGGTATGAAGGTCAATTCCACACCAGTCTCCATCTGTGGCCTAGACTGGAGTGCAGCGGCGAGATCTCACCTGACTGCAACACCTCCTGGGTTCAAATGATTCTCCTGCCTCAGCCTCCCAAGTAGCTGGGATTACAGGTGCATGCCACCACACGCAGCTAATTTTTTTTGTATTTTTAGTTGAAATGGGATTTCGGCATGTTGGCTAGGCTGGTCTTGAACTCCTGACGTCACGTGATCTGCCCACCTTGGCCTCCCAAAGTGCTGAGATTACAGATGCGAGCCACCACACCCAGTCTTCAGAGTGTGTTTCTATTTAAGATTGAATACTTTCAGTGAGAAGAAATCCATCTACAGCTTCCTATATATTCATTCAACACATAGTTCCTGGGCGTCTAGACAGGTAGACAGACACAGTCCTCCCCTCATGGACTCCTTATAACCCCCTAAAAGTGTCACATGTTAAATAAAAAAATTATTTAAAAACTAATTACAATTGTGGTGTTGTGAAGGAGAAAACCAGCGTGCTATTAGGTGACACTAACATGAGAACTTAGACTTGTTTGAGGAGAGGGTCAGGAAAAGGCTTCTTTGGGGAAGTAACATTTAAGCTGAAACCTGGAAGATGCATGGGGGTTTGGAGAAGAGGCTAGGAACAGCATCCCTGGCAGAGGGCACAGCACCGGAGCTGTGTCTGAGATAGGCAGTGAGGGGCTTTTCTGGAGGAAGTCAAGGAAAGCTGGTGTGGCCTGCAGGTAAGCCTGCAGGTGAGCACAGGGAGAATGCAGAGTGAGGAGGTGGGCCACACCACATAGGCAGTGGGAATGACCTCAGATCTGATCTTGAGAAGCCACTGAAGAAGGGGAGTGACATAATTTGAAAGTCAACTGAGTCCAATCACGGTTGGGAAAACATTTTTTGACCCATGTAATTGGAACCAAATAGAATCAATTAATAGTAGTAACATGGCACTAGTTACGGTTGTTGTCCTAATCACAGGGAGCACTTCTAATGACTTAATTCGTTATCTGTTTGAAGCCTCAGACACAAACTTTCAAAAAGTGCTTTAAAAAGCAACTTGTAAAAGCTCCCGTTTGGTCTTCTTTTAAGCTTCTTTTTAACCGAATCAGGTAGGCACTGTACCAAGCCTCTGAGACACATGTGTGTGATCTTTCCAACAACTCAGAAGAGGAATGGGAGCCTCTGCATCCAAGGTGGGAGAGGCAGAGCTGGGACTGCGGGCAGGACAGCTGAGTCCGAAGCCTGTGCTCCACTCATGTTCACAGAATGAAGGAAATCAAAAAGGAGCAGATGATGTGGCTGCCGGCCTCTGATATGTTAACAGGGCAAAGCTACTGAGGAAACACAGGCTTCTGGCTGAGGGTAGAGGATTCTAGGAAAGGGCAGAAAACGAGGGGGTGACAGAATTCAATAATTTGAGCAGAAAATGAAAAAAGAATAGCTGAATTAGAGCATCTCTCTAAGCACCCTGAGGACAGGAACCGTGTTTATCCTGTTCATGGCTATATCCCTAGGGCAGAGAACACTGCTCAGCAAGTGGCATGTGCTCAAAAAAAAAAGATGCTGACTCAGTGAATGAATGTATTTGAAAAGAACCTATTTGGTAATAATCACGATGACAATAGTAATGAAATTAGCCACCGTCAACTGAGCACCTACATGTGCCACACCTGTGCTGGGTGTTTGGCTAGGTTAACCCAAACCCAATCACCAGGTACAGCAGGCATTGTCCTCACATTCCTGGGAAGGAAACAAGGTACACAAAGGTTAAATAACATCTGATGTCTCTTGTCTAGTAAGTAGCAGGAATGAACTTAAACCCAGATCAATCTCACTCCAAACCCTGTGCTCTCTCTGCCCTGCTGTGTTGCGTCTCAAGCATGAACGTGCTAAGAACTTGGGCTCCAGCCGTGGCCAGCCCCTTCAGGATGACTTGGCCACTGTGGGGTCTCATTCTTTCATCATTCTTAGTCATCAAGTCTAAGTAGCCCTGGAAAAAGGAAGCATATGTGCACAGAAAGACACCTACAGGAAGCATCTTACCAAAACTGCCTTGCATAATTGAGGCTGTGTCTGGGTAGTTCAGTGGTGCTAATGAGGCCACTGTTACAGGTTCAGTCTCCACGTCTAATTAACTCAGCTTTGTGTCTTGCAGACTACACCCCAATCCATCTCAGAGGTGCATTCAGTAGTTTCAGAAAAGATGGCTGGGAAGTGTGGGCGGTTTGGTGAAACCTGTTTGCATGACTAGCAAAACGATGCAAAAGGCATGCTGCAATCGTGTCAGCAGCAGCTTCCTAGAAAAAGGTCACGCAAACTTCTGCACCAAACCTGGGTGATCAGAGCTCCTCTGCAACATTCAGTCCTTTTTCCCATAAAGTCTTGAGATTTTTTCCCCCCAAGTATTTATCAGAATCCTCTTTATCTTTCTGTGATATTAAAAAAAAAAAAAGCTGGTGACAGGCAGGTAGCATTATTTCTGAAAATTACTAAGAACTTAAAAGACATTGAGAACATCTACACAACTTGACACAGATAAAAAAATTGTCATTGGGAGTAGAGATAATTTTATAATCAACATTTAGGCAAGTTTGTGTTTAGAATATGATTAGTTTTCAAGGCGAATATGTCTAATTCTACTTCTCTCTGTATGGAGAGGTTCTGTCTCTAGTCTCATCTATTGGCAAACTGTTTCACTCATGGCTGCTGGAGTTATCTTTCCAGGACACATATCTGATTCATTCATTTCATTTATAAAAACCTATTAAGCCCCTCTGCAAAGCTGTATAAGTCAGGTGTTTGTGGGACTTATCTATTTGGGACACTCTTGAGAATTAAAGGAGGCAGGTCTGTTGATTATTATGTTGGAGCAACAAGCATAAACCTAGGCAGACTAGGACCTGTGGTCATCTCACACAGAATAGAAGGTCCTTGGCAATCTGAACTGAACTCACATTTTCTGACTCTTCTCCACCCAGATCAGCCTCTGAGAGGGGCCTACCCTTCTCATGCTTTTGTCCCAGACCTCAGCCCTTCCAGCTTCTCTTCTGGAAGAGTGAGTACACACTTCCAGAGCACCTCGAAGAGCAGTTTCACCTACTCCCTGGAATTACAGGTCCAGCCTCTATGCTTCTGTGCACCCTGACTGGACACAGTCATCATTTGTTTTTGTTTATTGCCCTCTCTAGATGGTGAACTCCTTGAGGTTGGGGGGTTTAAGTCATCCTTGTGGCTACCCCCAATATGTAGAGAAGTGTTTTGTACATTCTAAGTGTTCAGAAACTGTCAGTTGATAATAAATAAATTCCAAGACTAGATAATCTGTACCTTTTAAACAAATACACTGAGGTTTGTGTTGTAAATGTTTACGGCATTTTGCGGCCATCACCTAAGTGGGAGCGGCCAAAATAAAGTTCAATCCCTTTGTGAAATGCTTTTGGCATTTCAGTGCACCTTCCCCCATTCGCAGGAAGATTATGTCTTCCCCTTTTTCCAAAGAGCTGAGACAGAAGTACAACGTGTGGCCCATGCCCGTCCGAAAGGATGATGAAATTCAGGTGGTTATCACTAGGCTCAAACTGGACAAAGACGGCAAAAAGATCCTTGAACAGAAAGCCAAATCTTGCCAAGTAGGAAAGGAAAAGGGCAAATACAGGGAAGAAACCACTGAGAAGATGCAGGAATAAAGTAATCTCATATATAAGTTTTGATTAGATTTGATTATATGTAAGTTTTGATTTAGTTTTCTTGGAATGAAAAAGAAAACTAAATGCTTCTGACTAAAATGTTTTATGGCAGAATCGCTGACTGTCCTGGTATCACAGAAACTTTGGCTGATTTCCATGTGAGTGAGTGTATGGAAGAAGTAGTATTATATGAGCAATCTGTTTTCTCTGGGTGAAGACAGCAACGGGCATATTTCACTTCCATTGTTCATGGGGGATAGTATTGCTGTAGGCCAAGACGCTGAGACTGCTAAGCTCTGACTAATCTAGGAAGTGTCTGCAGCTACACAGGGCCCAAAGGCGCACAGGCCTCTTGTACTTTAACTTCACTGTTGTGCTCTCAGACCTGCATGACCCATCTGTAATAGTATCTGCCACAGAAAAGACACTGTATGAAATTCCTGTGCCGCTCTTCCCCATCTAACCTGTTCCGCACGATGGTGAACACCCAGGGGAAGTGAAAGGAAGTGCCCCAGACTGAGACTGGGAACCGTCACCTCCCACTGGATGAGCAATGGGACACGCCCAGGAGTGTGAATTCCCTGCCTCTGTAATACTTTTTCTCTCTCAAAGCATGAATCTTGGAGAGATGAGCAATGATTGGTAACTCTCCTCTCTAGCTAAATCTG